TCTTAGATCCATAGGCCAACATTAGAGCCATTTCCCCTATATATTTTTTTCCCGATTTAGCATTGAAATTCAGGGATTCCTCCCGTTTTTTTTCGGTGACTTCTAATTCCCGGATTTTTCCGGTTCGCTGGTCACCCTGGAATTCGTTTAATGTTGGTACAACAAAATATGGTAAGGTTCCAATAAAATTCCCGGATATTTCCCGGTTAATTCTTCACCAGACCTGGTTTTCCCGATTCAGTGCCAGCCAAACTGTTAATATGGAGGAAGTTCAGTTTTGACCCAAACAACCTTGCTGTAGACAGTAACTCTCTGTTTGATCATGATCAAGAGATATACTAACTAACGGGAAGCTTACCCGAGCAAATCTGGAGATCAAATTGAAATCAAAATTTATTGTTATGATGTAGTTTATTTTAAATATTCCAGTTAATCTTATTTTGGTTGACTTAACGGTTAACAGAGCAAAAACCCATATTGATCGACCGGGCAGGTGAATAGAACCATTGTTACCCAGTATAATCTTGTTTTTGATATTATCCATGGATATAAGAGGCCTTAATGGATTTTTTTTATTGGTCTCAGTTTCTGCACTGCTCAATTGCTGCATACAAAACAGCAATTGCTAGTTTGAATTGGAGTTCAAATTATAAATCAGAGTTTTATGACTTTATACTTAATTTGTTTTATTGTGCTCTACATACTTTAGAACAAACTTATTATATTGCAATAATATTTGACGAACCAATTAAGTTAAATAATCAATCAGCCCGATTCTCTTCATCGATTTTCTCTTTCGCGAATAACCCGACTGCAAATGAATTTCCCATTCAGTGTGTTGTTTCAGGCGCAAGCTAACTATAGTCGCTATGTTTATAGTCTGGCGGATAGAATTACGATCTATCAAAAAGCGGAACCAATTCAATGTATTGTAGACCAAAAATTGAAAACGTACTATCAAGTTTTATAAACAAAACGTTGATTATGCTTTTCTCGCCAATCGAACGCATCATCGGATAGGGGAAATTTTCTCCAAAGATGGTGTTAGTTTGCGTAGGCGTGCCTTAAGTCACGAGAAAACGGGTTCCGAATGTTTTGTTCGCCATAGCTGATGTGCTCTTTTCTGTTGTTGGTCGTGATTTGACAGCTCAATTGGTCAAACAGCTATTTGACAGCTCAATTGGTTCCCGAGATTCTCTCCGCCAGGCTATGAATATAGCGACTATAAAGCTAACATCATCTTATGTCGAACTGTCTTGTGAGCTTAGCGAGAAATTCGTTTATGTGCCGTTGGTAAGGATAGGCCCTTTTCAAATGTTCCGTGAGAATACAGAATAAAATTCGAAAAAATGTGGCACCATTGCCTGCGGCACCCTCAACAGCTACGCTAACGGGACTGGTCGGTCAGAGTTTCCAGGTTTGTTTCACGATGTAGCAGTTCCAATAGCGATTTTTAAAAATGAGGATGAGCGCCTCCTTGTGAATATATTGACATGTGTTTTTTGATGTTTAATCGGCGCACACTATTGCACCTTTTAAATCGAATGAGCGCGAGTAAGAGGGAAACAAATTAGTGGGAAAACAAACCGTCCGTGCTCCATGTTGCTAGATAGAGAAAGACAATTAAATGTCAAAAAGGTCTAAGGGTAAAAACAGAGCAGGATGCACGCTACTTCTAAACAACCCAAATTTGAGTAGGATATCCACCAAAATTGAGTAAACAAAGTTGGGACTGACAAGATTGCGAATGAACACCTGAATCCGAATGTTAATTTGTTATCTTGTCAGTTACAATCTAGTTTGCTCTATATTGTTAAGCCCTACTTCTAATGGAAATGAGTAGATCTTACTGAAAATTGGATTGTTGAGAAATAACATGTGCAGACAGGTGGAAAAACTCGCTGCACACGGCCAACGAGATCAATCCAAATTTGATTTTACTTTACTCATAAATCGCAAAAAGTGCAGGAATTCAGAGAAATTTACTTCATGTTTTTCCAGTTTTTTCGCGCTTTTTCAAGGAAAAAATTCCAGAATGTGATAACACCAACGATTGGTTTTTCTATTTCTATTGGTACTACTACAAAACGGTGTAAAATTTTCGTAAATTTAACTCATTTTCCAGCAGACTATAGAGGCTTTTATTTGGGTTGATCTCATCGGCCGTGCACAAATTTGAAGGGACAACATCTGACTGGTCTTATAGAGCTTCTCGACGTCTAATCGGCGCACACTGCTGTACCATTTAAGTCCAACGAGTGCGAGCAAGAGGGAAACAGATTAGTGGGAAAATACACCGTCGATTCATACATGTGTGATAGATAGAGAAAGACGATTAAGCATCGAAAAGATCTATTGGAACACGTAGGGTAGGATGGTTCAAAACGCACCCCTGGGGTAAAATGGCCCTGCGCTGTTTTTCATAGCTTTCCGATAGTCAATTCGTGAATTTAACAATAATCATTGCTAGTTCAGATCGAGGTCAGATCGAGAAAAAATTCAATAGCGATCAATGGCGCAATGGGGCCTTTCAAACGAGATATCAACCAAATTGATCGGATGAGCCATCTTGAAAAAAGCTTGCCTAGATGAAACGCGTCCACAGACGCTGCAAATGTCATCTTGCTGGGTCGATTTTTCATATTGAATTTGATTCTACGATGTCGTCAGATCGAGCCAAGTTCTATCGATTGGGAATGTTTTATACAGGTGAGATAGCTTGTGTGGATGGCTATCGGGCGCAGACGGCAAGACGTGTGAAAATCGATTCTAATACCTATGTTACGCTAGTAACAAAGGTAATATCAGAACCAAATTTTACACTGTTGAATCAAACAGAAAACTAATCCTGCTTTCAATCAGATTAATTGGATTACTGATTTTGCATTCATAATAATTAACTGAATACGGACTTGGCGTGAATCGTTCGAATCCACGCTTTTCACACTTGAGTTAAAATCAGGCTTGCAATTGCTCATTACAGCTAAAATGCTATTTTACGTTATTATGAAACAATGGGATACTTTAATGATAATTTTTATTTTTAAGATGCAAGAAGAGGTGGTAAAGATTGTATATGACATATAAAATTGGTCAGTTTTGCTTTCAGAAGGTCACAACTAGTCGAGTATTAGTACAAGACACTGAAGAAGTCTGCACATTGTAGACGAAACACGCGTATCTGTCAAGGCAAATAAGCAAATAAGGTAGTGGAATTAAATGGAAATTACTAATTCTTCTCTCTCTCTCATTATCTCTGATCACGCCTTCCTTCGGTTTGGAAGGGAAGTAAAGCCGTTGGTCCCCGGTTCATGAGTTGATAGGTCGATAGGTAGGGGCCAGGTGTGGGAGCTGCCTCCCTGGCGTCGGTAGCATTGGTGCTCAGCACGGAAAACAAAATCAAGGAAAAACAAAATCTACGGTCCAACGCCCCACTGCTAATCTCATTTTATCTAGTCACGATTCACTCGTTACCTAGTTCAATAATTACCACCCGAGTGCATTTTATTTTTATGAACACTTCAACCTATTTCTACGCCTGATTTGATTACTGACATCACCACAATCAGTAGTCGTCGTCGGCCTAGCTACCAATCAAAACCCATTAACTCATACAGTCGATCCCAACCAACAACGCAGTAGCACCACAATAGTGGAAAGTCATCCATCAACTATGTAAAGCGAATTTCTCAAGGTGCGAAATAAAAATTGCACCCCTTCAAATCGGAAGGAAAATGGATTAAAATCGATTACCGCACTTTCTTAGCCCCATTCTCTGCCCTAGCAGGTGAAACTGAGCTACGTTCGAACGTCAAAAGCAATTCCATTTCTTACGCTCGTAAAATGTATCGTTGAACGCGAAACCGTCGAAGCGAAACGCGTTCAATTGTTTTCGCAAGTAAATAATTCGTTTAACCTCTCGCACCACCGAGATCCGAGGAAGGTTTCCATAATCATGGTAATTTAATGTGCATGTAGGTAGGTATATTGCTCGGCTGCGGGCAGTGAAGTTTCACTTTCACTTTAATGTCTCCGAGCGAGACCAGCCGATTTAACTATACAAAACAAGCACGCTGAAATTGTGACGAGTAACAAAGGCAATGCACGTGAAAGCCCCAAACGTTCACACGCTACTTATTCTGCGACATGCATATGCAATTTATGACTCGTGAATGATTGAACTATGCAAAATTTAAACTTCAAATGAAAATGGCTATTAGTAAGGGAATGATGTCTCCCTATGACGAAGATCAATCAACTAAGGAATCTTGAAAGCAATCATTTCAGAATCGCATTAAATCATACGCCACGTCGACCTGATTCAAAATTTAAACGGCCAACAATAAATTATTCCACTTGATATGGGATAGAGCAACAGTTAACCGAATCACCTTCAACTGTTGCACTTTCCCAAACAATTTGACCAACTTGGCCACAATCATTCACCATACAAAACGAACAAACGGGTATGGGGGGATTAAGTGTAGGTGGAGTTGACTGCATGCATGCTGTTCACTCACCAGGCACGAAGCGTATTAAAGCTGACGTGCTGTTTAGCTTAACTCGCACACAGAAAAGTCAAATTGCAGCAAAACGATTTCGAACATGCCATCGCATTGGTTGGATCGAAATAAAGCAACATCGCCCTTTAATGCAAGAGAGAATATATACGGACAAACAAAATCAGTGGCAACTCCCCCCGTAACAATACATTATCATGACGCAAACAGCTTTTGATAAGCATTATACTGGCGACGATGGGGAGAAGGGGATGATTCACCACCCACTCGAATAAAGCTGTCCAGCACCACGCGCCTGTGGGAATTTGATAAACGTTTCCGTGTTTTGAACCAATTGTTTGCCCTTTGATGGTGGAATGGGAAATTACACAATTCCCACGAGCATTATCGAAAGTGATCTTGTGGTCACTTGAGTGAATGATTCAGTCGAGATTTACTCTCTTGATACTAGTATGGTTGATTACAAAAAAAAATACTCACTGGAATGCAAACCGGCCAGGGAGGCTGCCTGAGAAGCGGCCACGGCCATCGTGTTCGGGTGCGAGTGGGACATCTGGTACCGATCCGAACCAGCACCGGATGCACCCGCCGAATTCGGCATCAGACCTCCGAGGCCGCCGGGCATGGCGAACTGGGAACCGAACAGAGGATTTGATGCTGCTGCTGCGGCCATCGCCGAGGGATCACGACCCCAGTATGCTGCAAATGAAAAAAAAAGGATAAACGGATTAAAGTGACATGTGGAAAAAATCAAATCAAATCAAATCAAATCAAGATATGAGCCGCGAACTAATGAATCATCCATGAGTGGCAATTTTGAATTGTTCAGTTTCACGAACGCTACTTGCATATAGAGAGGTCGATTTGGAATCTACAACAAGCGCTACTGCCCCATAGCTGGGCAAACTAAGTCAATACCCGAGCAAAGTCTGAGATCAAATTGAAATCTAAATTTGATGTTGTGATTTCGCTGATAATGATTACTCAGGTTGCTGTCGTTTTTGGTCGTTTTAACGGTAAAATATCAAAATTGAGAGCAAATAAATCTTCCTGCGACATCACATTGAAAACTATTTCTACTATCAGTGAGAGCAAACTGAAAACCAAATTTGATATCCATTTTTTTCCTGTTGATAAAAAAAACAAGTATTCAATTTGATGTTATGCTAAGGCAATGAAAACAACCCCGCAACAACATATTTTTGAAGAGCAAATGTACAGCAAAATGAAAACAAAATTTGGTATCAAATTTGTGAATTGCGAAACTGAAATCAAATTATGATTTCAGTTTGATGTTGATATCAAAACTTGATTTCAATTTGCTGTAATTTTAATGCTGGACTTTGCTCGGGTACCTACCCACAAATGATGGCACACCCCAACCCAATGCCAATGCGGTCGTTATTCTCGTTCGTAAAACGAGTGGAATTAACGCGTTCGATGCTGCAACAACAACAACAATAGATGACAGTGAGCAATCTAGTGATGCAACCGTGTGCCTAATGAGTTATGGCCGTTGTTGTCACACACAGATCACCAAATGGTGAAATCATGAACTGGAAAACTGCAGGTACGGATCAAGGTTGCAGGTGTGAATGGTGTAAGTGTGAATGGTGTGAGTGTGTGGCAACAGAAGGCGGTAATTAGAGGAACGCTTTGCATTCGGCGATAAATGGTGACTTGAAATGAGCGCGTTCAATTCAAGTGATACTCGGGTGACCTTAGGTCGTAGATCATTTAACACAAACGAGATGCGTGAGACTATTTTACAATTATGTAATATAATTATAAAACATTTGAGTAGTTGAATATAGTGTGTTACTATGCGGAGAAAAACATCAACTGTGGTCAACACGTGTTAACAGAGCATTTCATATTTTTTATCGGAATCTTGACTATGCAATAAAGTAAGTGGGCACAAGTTCGATCTTAGTTTTAAAAAAAAATAACGAAAACTCCAAGCCAATTCAGTTTACAGCTTTCTCTTACAAAGCTTAGATGAATTTTCAGTTCATTCGTAGCTAGGACGATTTTTTCGAAACAACAATGGGGTAAAAGGGTAAAGTTGGAAGTTTTTAAGAAGTGTTGCCACTAGAAATCTTGAATTTTTCCAAGGCTTTTGTTACATTCCGCTCCATTTATGATTGCTTAGAGTAAATAAATGCTTTTTAGATAATTGTGAATGATAACCTCGGTTTGATACACGACTCGAACTTTTGTCCCACTATAGACAATTCCAGCTTCCTGATAGTTTGATACTCCCAAAAACATCTTCAAACGAAACGCAATTAGGTCCCTTCACTATTTTTTTTGTTCTACGCCCCCAAAGTTATAATTTATCATTTCGAAACAAACTTTCACCTGTAACTCTTCGATAACTTCACCAATATTTGTGGTTTTTGGGGGCAAGCCAGGCTCTAAAAGACGTTCCAATCAAGTCTCAAAACGATCATTTCTGTTTTGCAAGAGTTTCAAAAACATCTAAACGAACTTTTGCTCCACCTTACTCTAAATAAATATCAATCTTCATTAATATAATTTGTCAGGGTGTCGACTCAATGAAGTAAACCAAATTCCCTGATATTCTCTGATTTTTCAGTAATTTCCAAAAAAAAATCTACTTTGTTTTATCCATCTATAACAAACTTAAACTCTATTCTATCTACTGCTTCAAAAAGAACTCTGTTTCGTCAACTCTGTGTAAAGTTATTAACAAAGGAGCAGTTGGTGTGTAAAACTGTGTATGCCAAGTATGCTCATTAGACTGATGCAAAATTTGACTTTTTCGCTCCACAGTGCTTAAATGGTTTCAAATCGGGTCCTGATTAGCCTCCAAAAGTTACAACTCATTGGGTTAGAAACAGACTTCGCACAAGCCATTTGAAGTTTACATGTAAATTACTATGGGAAATCTCAACTTTTTGTTTATTGCCTTCTAGTCTTTTTCCATATTGAGCAGCGAAACAGTTAGATAGCCATTCTTATAGAAAATTTTCTCAGCTACAACTTTGCTCAAGATCGTTTCTATGTAAAACGAGACAGGAAAAAGTTATTCATTATTTAAGAGATTGGTAAACTTATGACATGATCAAGCAGCTGATCTGTAGGCAACACTGTATTTTGCAGTGTGACATAGTAGCCATGATTTTTGTGTCCTATTCAACGTCCCAGAAACACCAATGTTGCCTGCTGAGCAGTTGATTGAGCATGATCATAAGCGCATTGAACCATTGATAACTTACGATCCTTGCATTTAATCAAAAAGTGGTCTTGAGCAAAGTTGTAGCTGGGAAAATTTGTTGAAAGCTTTTGAAGCAGACCGATATGGTGAATTATTAGCTATACATGAACAAAAATTTTGGTTTTACCATAGTAATTCCCATACAAACTACAAATGGTTTGTGCCATCTCAGTTTTTCACCAAATGGGTTCAAATTTTGAGAGGTTAGTCAGGATCCGATTTGGAATCGTTTAAGTATTGTGGAGCGAAAATTTCAAATTTTGCATCACTCTAATGCTCATCAGCTATTACTTTCCTCAGATATGTAATTATGCTTTCTGTACATTTTCTTCATGAAATACCACATGGACCTCTAACCCATGATTGATTTATCTTTATTTATTTAGGAGGCTTTTAGCCTGAGGCTGGTTCGCCTAACTCTAACCCATGAAGAGTAGTCAAGTACAATCTCAAATTGAATAAAGCGATCGATACATTTTATAGAATGCAAGAAAGACAGAAATTCGTGTTGTCAAAAACGGGAATGAATTGCAAATTTCTAAATTCAAACATTTTAAACGTGTTGAGCGTGAGGTAATTAGTTTTGGCAGTAACCGGGATGTTACTATAATTGATAGCGATGTGTAAAAGAATTTTTTTATCGTTTTCATCAAGTTCATGATCCGTAATTTTCTCACCCTTAGGGACGATTCATATATGATGTCCAGTCTTCAGGGGAGACCAAATTTGTGACAGTATGTACTGCTCATAAAAGCATATCAGTCCCATGTGGAAAAATATCAAACCAAGAAAAACGCTATTGAAAATTTATTTATCCGTAGACTCTCATGGATGGGACAACCATGTTTTGGTATTTTTCACCATATTTCCTGAACAAAATATGTGACTTTTAGTGCACAGTGTAAAATACAGGTAGTTTACAATGGATTCTAATGGATAGCTCATTAATGATAAAAATCCATATGGGATTGTTATGTTTTTCTGGGCATTGTGATAGGTATAGGAAAAAGCGTGACACAAGGGAAAAACTTGTTGATGTCATATTTGAATCACTCCTTAGAAGTTCTTTGCTGACTGTTCCTGAACGCAGGGACATAAATTCACCCAGTTCTCCTACATGTTACATATGAAACACTTGCCTTTAATCCCATTATACATTTTTTTTTCCCCTTGAGCACTGAGAAGCTAATTTTCCGAACTAACCAGGTTCACAATGAAGACCTAGAATACTCAATAAAGCCACTCTATGACATCAAGAAAATGCTTATCTACGTATCTTTGAATTCATTCAAGCATAAAAGTGATATGATCAGGTGGGGCAAGAGTGCCACCTTCATTTATTTTGAAAATAAACATATGTTTAATGCTAACTCACCCATTCCTATGAGCATAACAGAAACTTCTGTCCAAAATGATTAATTCACTTTTGCTTACGTTATACATGATGACCAGCAAATAGATCTCAACTTCAAGAACTTCTTTAGGATCATTTCCCTTATCTTAAACTTGCCTCTTAAATAAGACTCAACAAAAATAATTGACGGGATTTCCATGGAAATTTCAGCAGAGCCTTCAAAAAAATCAGAACTAATTTGAATTCTTATTACAATTTGGCCAAGAATCCTCACCAATCATCATAGAATTCTTCTTAGAACTCTCGTTAAAATGCACATGGAGCTTTAATCTCAATTATATTTGTTTTGGAGCCGGTTTTTCACCTTCGCTTAAGTCTTAAGCCAAGTTTTACTAATTCCTTTAAAATTCTCCTTAATTTCCTTGGGATTTTTTTAAAGTTCTTAATAATTCTACAAAGAATTTATATTCGGGGATGGGAGGTATGTTTTTAAAATCGAAATTGAAGGCATTTCCCACTATTTTTCCTGGTGTTTTGATGTTCCTTGATTTTTTGCGGTTCACAGATATGCATATTTTGTCACAACTACTGTAGACTTCCTTAGTGGCTTGAATTCAATTTAAACGCTTTGTTGATATTGTGTAATTTTACTCTATTTTGGTTGTGAAAAGTGACTTTAGTGACTATACTTAGGGAAATAGTGACTTTAGTGATTTTTGGTGTAAAACGTAGCTTTTTAGTGACTGGTTTCAAAATAGTGACCGAGACACTAAAAAGTGTCCTGCTACCAGCTCAAGCATTGAGGCATCACTAATAATGATTGATTGAAACATCAATAGTAAATAATAGGTAAATATTCCCTATAATTGGTCAAAAATCATCTTCTTAATATTTAGAGATGAACTAGCCTAAGGCTAAAAATCTCTTAAATAAAGAATAAAAAAAAATAAAAAAATTAATCTTCTTAATAATGAACCTCACGGGACAAGAGTGCCACCCCTATATTTAAGAATCAAATTATACAAAAATGTCAAAGAAATTGCATAATTGTGCATTTAAGTCTATTACTAATCTACTCGAAGGTAAATTTTTTGTCATAAGCAA